CAAGTTCTCCTAGCAGTTCAAATAGATTTTTGCCTCGTAAAACTTTACACACACGGTCATAGACTCTGCGTATGCAAATTTTTGAATGCATGCAGAAATAAGTATATACTTGTGCGGTCATATTTTCTGCGTGCTTTTACCACACCTAATGACAACAACTAGTTGTAGACAGGACTTTGTACATTTAGAGTAATGAAAAATTCAATAAGCAAAAAGCTGTGATATCTCCATACTCGCTTTCATTCTATTATTCTTTTATTTTTGTGTCTATTTATCGGATGTTGTACGTTTGTTTCTTTCTTTTCTTTATCTGACGGTGAACAAAAAATTCTTAACGGCGCGATAATGAAATTTCCTGAGCCATTTTTTAGACCATAAACAATTGCCGATTGTTTAGCCTAAAGGGACATAAATAACAAGGAAAAAAATACATAGTCTGTTGTTTACTTAACTCCTTGACGTTAAATACTAGAAACTCTAAGAAAATATATGATAAGATGAAGAACTACGCATATATATTTTAACGCTCCAATATCTGTTTCTGTGATTATTTCTTAGTGTAACAGCAAAAACAGCACATCGTAGCCAGATATTTGACAGTAAGATATCGTTAACATTTTCGAACTTTGTGAATAAATATGTTTCTAACCTAATTTGAAATTTAATCATGTGATGTCTATATTTACAATCACTCAGATAATAAAGATCTGACTTTGAAAGTTTATTTTAAAAATTGAAATACCTAGTATAGCAGAAGTAACGCCATTTTGTTATTTATTAAATTTACTAAACAAAAATACATTACAGTAGTTTAAGAAAATGTATAAGTATTGTCATATGAAACAACATGATTTATTACGATGATTTTCTAAGCGTAGCTCAGATGTGGCACAATGCCGGAAGTGTGCTTTCACTGTTGATTGAACTTGCAACTCAGTCAAAATCTGTCTAACGAGACCATCTTGCGAAACCTTACACCACGGCGAGTTGCCCAACACGATGGGTTTTGATTAACAGACTATTTAGCAGGCTCAACAAAACGCTGAATCCTATCGGCAAAACTGCCATTTTGTACATTTCTACATTAATTTCAGAAAATGTAGCAGAAATTGCCTGTTTTAGTTCAGGAATTGCTTTCGGTTTGAGCCTATAAACAAGATCAGTCCATCCTAGACGTAAAAATCTGCTGGTGCTAGTTTTGGTGATCGTAATGACCACTCACTTGCACCACGTCGTCCTGTCCACCTCAGCTCGAGAAAAAAAGGGCATTTCTTTTGCTGCACCCTGTAAATCATATCAACTTTGAAATAAGCCATGAAAACTAATTGTTACATAATATGGTGCAACCCATAAAATTCTAAGATCTTTATCCTGTAAATGTTTTTATTAAAATGTAAATGCATTTATGAACTATTTTCGTATAGAAATATATATTTTATTTATTACGTAATAAACTTATTATTACATAGTTGTTATTAATTTATATAAAATTGATTTCTTTCTCTCCTCTATTATGAACATCTCCACACTTCGTTAAAGAAAATCATTTTTCCAGATTTTAAACGTTTATGTTCAAAAATGATTTCGAGCAAAAGTAAAGTCATAAAGTTGACGTTACTTTTTAAATATAAAGAAATTTGACATCGAGCTTAATTGGCTTCCTTCGAGTTTATTTCAAAAAATAAAAAGTCCATAAGACAAGGATTAACCTTCTTACCAGATTTATTTAACCATTACAGTGCGGCGATCTTAAGAGAACCAGAAGTCCTACTTGGATTCATTATTGGTGGGTTCAATCTGAACGTCATAAAATACGAAGATGACAGCATGTTGACGTCAGACGTAGAAAGGAAACTGCAGAAACTCCTAAAAAGTAAAAAACGAAGAATACGGGAAAGGCGAATTAAGAAGCAATTGAAAGAAGGCGAAATGCACGATCATCAGTAAATAGAGCCGATGAAGATGTTGCTGAGATATCAAAATCAAGGAAGTGCAGAAATTTAAGCCTCTGGCACGAGTCTTAAAGAATTAAATGAAAATTTGAAACCGAAATCTAAAAGCGCATTAGAATAGCGAAAGATGTCTTTCAAAAGCTAAACATAGCATTAAGAAACGAAAATTATTCACTAGAAACAAAGAATGCTAAACTTCAATGTAATACCTATCCGCTTATATGGCAGCGAATGATGGATAATTTCTTCACAGATGAAGAAGAAACTTGAAGGCAGAGAGATGATCTACAGAAAGATTCTGAGAATATCATGGTCGAAGCATGAGAAAGTTTGAAGGGAAATGAAAAAAAGGACACATACTTAGCATCAGAAAGAGATACCTGAAATCTCTGGGACACATAATGAGGAAAGAGGGCTTGGAGAATTTGACACACAGATGATATATGGAAGACAAGTGTTTCAGAGGAGAAACAGCAAGTACTCTACTTAACAAGCTTTCGTATATGGAATACAGAAGATAGAGACGAGGAGATAATAAAAAGACAAAGAATGGGAGTTTTTGAAGAGCCATAAACGACCACTTTTTAAAAGGGACACGGCACATAAAAGAAGGAATTTATTTGTACAAATGAAAGGAAAATTTGAAAGTCTACATGCCTACCAAAATTTAGTTCAGAGCTCTAATCAAAAGAAACAAGCTTTTATCATATGAAGATATATGAATATATAAAAGAAATCATTTCTTATATCATAAGAGCCAGTTTTAAAGGAGAGTCTTTTGATCTGTAAATCACTTTAGAAAGGAATCTTATGAATCAGTTGTCTTTCTATATTTCCATGTTTGCGCAAGATAACTCAATTTGAAAGATATGCTTCTGCTTTAATTAATGTTCATTTTCATAGAACAATATGTTATAGTTTTAATATTTTCCACCTGTTTTAAACATACGACTTGCATGGCTTTTGTTCGATTGACTAATTTATGCAAAGATGTAATTATAAATCGAAGAAGAATACAATCGTCTGCTTCTACCAATACAAAATTTGCAGATTTATTCTAGCAATGTTGCGCCAAAGATTTCTGGTTGGCAAAGTGTAATTCATAAATACTTAACCGAAAATTCGATTACGCCACTTTGCTTCGAAAAACGCAGATGGTGTTGTTGAAAAGACAAACATTTTCCTGCCTCACCCTTTTTCTCCTCTTTGCTCCAAGGTGTGAACCACGTGGTAATTTTGTTTCCACTTGGAATTTTTCCCCCGGTGCATTGACAATTGAACTCTCTTTCCACTTTGCAAGGAATGGCGCTCGCACGTGTCTTCCAAAGTCCTCAACCTGTGACTTAGATTAAGCTTTCTCTTTGGTTGTTCCAACTAAGCACAAGACTGATTTGAGCGTTACTATAGTAACGATCCTTATACTGACTTCTGGATAAAGAAGAAGAAAACGTACATCCCGTGACCATGTTTAAATGATAAAGTAAACACTTTGCTTAGGTTGTTCCAACTTCACCCAAGGCTGACTTGCGTTCAACTATGAATACGATACTTATATCTCCATTCTCTAACTTCTGGAACAGAAAGAAAACGCACATTCCCAAGAAATATTAAGAATTTTGTTTCACTACATTCTATAAAAAGAATAAATGACCGTAATACAGACTGGACTGGACTGGACAGATAGGCAAAAATGCATATTTTCAAGAAATGAAATTTTCAACAAAATTTTACTGACTTGTAATATTAACAAATAACGTCTTCAGTATGAATTCCATCATTTTTATACGTTCACTCAAACGGGTTGTCGCCATGTTTTACATTGAGTACACGTTTTTCTGTTCTCCTTTATGTTGTAGAGTAATTTTCACAGTGGAGGCTTGTATTTCACTAAGTCGGTCCTAAATTAGGTTCGACGTACAAAACGTTAGGAACTTGAAATAATAGTTAATGACGTAGCAATCTAGTTGTGGGGTTCATACTTTAATGTCCGACATCGACTGACTCACACAACTCACTGAGCTCCCCTGGCGACTGCTACTACTACTACTACTTATCTGTGGGAGAGTCTATTTACGATAGAATTGGTACGTTCCGGTATAACACTTTAGCCTACACCAGAAAATAAGTCAGTACTTTCTTCTTTCTTATGAAACCATGATTAATCGGTGGAGGTAAAACTATAGTGAATGAGATTTCCTATGTCTCCAGATTTTAGGGACACCTTGTGCAAACTTGAGTTTATATGCTTCTATCTTCTTTGTTTATATATTGAACACGCATCTTCAACCAAAATACACACAAAGACTACAATCTGTTTAATTGCATAAAATGAATAATAAATGACGTAGCATTGCCGTGTTAGTTCAACACAGTAACAAAGACAAATATCCAAAGCGTAGTATTCATTTACTATCTTGCCTACTATCATTAGATTTTCTTTGAAACTAACAGAATCCGATCATTATACCAATTGGTGGAATAAATTAGTTTCTCTAGGGAAATCCAAATCCAGGTGTTTCCTTGATTCTAACTTTTACACATACTCTTTGCTGTGAAGTAAAAAAGACGGTTCTCATTTGGAGAAAGCAACTTCCATAAAATTTGGGCTAAAATTTTACAAAGATTTAATCTATTTTTGGAATGTTTAATTTATCATTACCAAGGGTTCTGAAAAGTTATTTGCAAACTACTTGCTTCTCAAAATCAGAAAATGAAAAAAAAAACCACCAGATTTTGTGGGGATCACTTACACCGAGAACTTTTAACCCTTTCGCTTAAGCCGCAAACATGATTCAGAATTATTTTTTACAGAAAAATCAGATGTCTGTGGAGATAAGTATAGTGATTATGATGATCTAAATGGTTATTCTTTGATAGGTAATACATATATCATATATGTGTGTGTGTAGGTGTGTGTGTGTGGGTGTGTATGGGAGTGTTTTCTGAAGAAGACTTAACACGTGAATTAGTGAACAACTAACATTGAAATGTTTTTTTAATATTCAAACATTCGTTTGCGTCTTCTTGAGTGTTTGCTACGAAAATAAATTAGGTAAATGCGAAGACACTGTGAGATAAATTGATGTGAACATTTAAATAGATACGGATAGAGAGATAAAAGTGAAAACAATAGATAGATAGATAGATAGATAGATAGATAGATCTATTTTCCTATCAGACTATATATTTATCTACGTATCTATAAATAGATGTGAACAGATAGATAGATAGATAGATAGATAGATAGATAGATAGATCTATTTTCCTATCAGACTATATATTTATCTATGTATCTATAAATAGATGTGAACAGATAGATAGATAGATAGATAGATAGATAGATAGATAGATAGATCTATTTTCCTATCAGACTATATATTTATCTATGTATCTATAAATAGATGTGAACAGATAGATAGATAGATAGATAGATAGATCTATTTTCCTATCAGACTATATATTTATCTATGTATCTATAAATAGATAGATAGATAGATAGATAGATACGAAAAGAAATAGATAAATGGATATGTAGAGTGACTGATTGATGTGGAGAGATAAATAGATGAGGATAGATACATAGATGAAAATAGTTAAAATGATAAATACGAATAGATAGATAGGCAGATGCGAACAAATAGATAGATAGATAGATAGATAGATAGATAGATAGATGATAGATGTGAACAGACTGAGAGATAAATGGTTGAAGTAGTTACGTAGAGAGAGAAAAATGAAGAAAGTGAATGTATATGAGAGATACGAACAGGTTGAGATAGATAGACAGACTGATAGGTGCAAGTTTCTAGAGGCTTAGACTGCTAAGGTAAAATAGGAAAAGCGGTGAGATATAATTTAACTCTTGACTGAAACGGCCACTCATTCCATGACTCACTCGACCTGCCTGCGTCAATTTCTCATTCAAATAACCACTCAATGAGGAGGGCATTGAGATTTTGTGAGGTGCAATGTCAAGGGAATATTCAATCAGGAGTCAATCACTGTGTTGTGATATGATTACTGAGTCAAGATCAATGTTTTAAAAACTACCAATGATTGAGATCTAAGAACATCAACATTAACTGGAAAGAATAAGGATAAACAAGGATGGTTTAGGGTAGAAATGTGGATTGTTAAATCTGATAACATTGAAATGCGTTCAGAAGGCGTTCCAAAGGTGAGGGATTTACAGGAAAAGAGAGATTTTCATAGGGAAAAATGAAGTAAATGACAAAATAAGCATCAAGAATAGGAAAAATAACAGGCAATAGTAAAAGATAGGCAGCAGGAGATGAATGATCGCGGGAATAGGGTAAAAAAGGCCCTGTGAGCATTGGGAAACACAAAAGAGAAAAGGGTATCGTTTAGCCTGTTCCTTTAAGAGACACACCCTCTCTCTCACTCTCTCTCCCTCTCTCTCTCCCCCCCTCTCTTTCTCTTTCTCATTCAGCCTTTTTTTGTATAAAAATGATCTAAATAAAGGAAATTATTTTTTCGACCCTATATATATATATATATATATATATATATATATATATATATATATATATGTGTGTGTGTGTGTGTGTGTGTGTATTATATATTGTATTCGTTTTCATGTTCATCCAGTATTTTTCTATGGTTATCTTTTCTGCCTGTTTCTATTTTTTTTTTTTTTTTCAATTATAGTGAATTTTGCATGGCTTTTAAAATGATGTTTTCCTATGCAGAAATGTTGTTCTACAGGTAATAATCTTTCGTGGGGAGTCGACTTGATCCGATGGCGATAATTATTAATTTTGTAGTGAAAGGGTCATTCAGATTTTCCCACATATTGTTTCTGGCATAGTGTGCATTCTGATAAGTAAATTATGTTATGACTTCTACATTTAGAGTTGTGGTAGATTTTGAAAGTAGATTTAGTGACTGAGCTAGTGAACGAATTGGTATGTCTAATGTGGTTGCAACATAAGATCCCTTTCTTCTTACATGGTTGGGAAAATCATATTGCTTTTATTTTGGATCTATTACAGGTGGTTACTTTACCACCTGAAATTTGGATACTACCTATAATTTCCATAAAGTTCTTAGGTCTATGATAGGCTAGAAGGCCGGGTTCCTCAAAGAAAGTTTTTAGGTCTGGTTTGAGATGTAGTATTTCCCAGCGACTTTTATTTATCTGAAATAGAGGAGGAAAAGTAGTGTTGAAAGTGATTATTAGAAGGATGCGTCTTCTCTAGGTGTGGAAATTGCTTTATTTATTTGTTCCCTGATTAGGTGTCATTTATAGGCACGTGTTGTGAATTCATGCTCGAGATTTGTAGTGTGTTTACTTAGTTCATCATTGTTAAAATATATCCTTCTGAGTCTAAATGCTTGTGAATAGGGAAGGTTCCCCTGGAGTTGTTTTGGGTAGGAAGACTTAAAGTGCAGATAGTTGTGGGTGCAAATGTGGGTGCAAGGACAAATTCTTCGTTTTTGAGTTAGTAATCTTAAAGTTTACGATAGATGGCGATGTTGCTAGGTTTCATTTGTCATTCGTCTACGTCTGTGTCTAGTCTATCTTCAA